CCGTGATATTGCTGGAATATTGCTAAAGGCGTAAATCTAAACTCACTCACTTTTTCAGCTCCGCAACATTTGATCATTTCTCTCAGATATTAATTATACACTTGACCTGGGTGCCACTGTGGAAAAATGGATTTTAGACAGCTTTGTTACACCAGGATATTGCAAAAATGAAAAAGCAAGGTGAAGAGAGAAACAGATGGTTTCACGTATGTGGGTAAAATCCATTTCCACTTGAAGGGGTCTAAGTTCATTGGAAACTGTTGCAAGTTCAAGTAGTCTGTCTCCCCGTTCTATTTATCGACCTCGCGGATTACACGGGATTCAGTTGCCAGGTCGTGTTTGTTCCTAAGGTCTGTTGTTAGGCAGAGCATGATAATTATCCTGGAAGCCTCATCCTCTCGATAATTGGACCATCCCAAGGTTATGATATCGTCAAGACATGCTGACCTATAGTTGCCTCCCTTAGGCATGACAGAATCCAAATTATGGATGGGTGGAATTCCAGGTTTGCTTTCTAGGATCTCTGGTTTGTAAATAATGGTGGTTTCAGATTTAAAAAATATGTGTATTTGAAATACAACAAATTCCTGACGTTGTGGCTGAATCAACCAGCATTTTGAGGCTGCAGGCTCGGTGTCCTCCCATTTGTGAGAACTCCCAGTTGTGAGACACATTAATTAATGGTTCAATGCACACTTCCCCATCCCTACGATGAAAGTGGGAACATCCCTGTTGCTGAAGAGTACCCGCAGGAGGCATAGTTCATTAATGAGATAATTAACACAGAAGACATTGTTCGTTGAAGAGCATTTATTGTTTTCAGTAGATACTGAAATACTGAAAAAGATTATCGTGAACTGGTGATATATTCTACTTGTTGAAGGCCTGCCATTTGTGATCGGAAAGAGCAGTCAAAGGTTAATAAATACATTTGGATTTATTATAGTTTTAAAGCCATTTATCTGAGTAGGTTAATTACTTTATCTTTTAGAGTTTCATTAAGTTACCTCCGCAAGATTCAGTTAAATAGCTAATCCATAATTAGCTGGGGTTAATCCATTCTATCAGATAGGGGAGTAAGGTGTGTTTTCTTTGCTTATTACCTACTCCACTGTCTCACAACTGGGAGTCTCACAACTGGGAGTTCTCACAAATGGGAGTAGACCGCAGGCTCCACTACAGTCGTCAAACCTTAATTCGTAACATCAATCAGGAGTGGTAAGGTAGCCTAACGGGTAAAGCGTTCACTCGTTAAAAAGGAAACGGGTTCGATTCTCCTCTTGGGTACAATGTACATTTCTAGTGACCCCCGTGATATTTCTGGAATATTGCTAAAAGCGGCGTAAAACTAAACTCACTCACTCTTAAAATATCAGCATGCTGTGGGAAATAAATGCAAGCCATATGGATCCGTACAAACTTTATAAGTACTTGCCCGACACGAAATCAACCTGACACCGACCGTCGAGCAGGCGCATCACTACAGTGTGATATATTGAGTTGAGTTGGGCTTTACGTCACATCGGCAATATTCCAGCCATATAGTGACGAGAACAAGTCTGAATTCACAAACATTTTAAGTCCAAAGTCCAAATGAGTTTTATGTTAAAACATATATATATTCATTACATTAGTGTTTAAAAAACAGAAAATGTCAGAGCACTAAAATTCAAAAACAAGCAATTCGTCATTCACATTACATACTAGTAGTTACAATATATGATACAGGGACCCGTTCCTCAAAGCGATCGTAGCGCTACGACAGTCGTAAGTCTATGTTAAAGTATGGGAGTTACGACTGTCGTAGCGCTACGATCGCTTTGAGGAATGGGGCCCTGGCCAACTTCCCTCAGGTAACTTCTTTGAGAGGCATTTAGAAGTTGGAGCAGTAAGGAAGGATAACAATATATGGATAAACAACTTCTTTATTGTTGTGAGAGCGAGGGGTTAACCCGTTCATCTAATCCCTTGTGTTGTTATTGTGTCTGGCTTCCTAATCCCCATTGTACTGTACAAACATCTGCCCTAACTTGTATATGTGCTTGTAATAACCAAGTGGCTTGTTTCTTTAATGCTTTATTTTTGTCTTCTTATTTCTTGATACATTTCTTGATACAAGTTCAGTTAAATGCAGATTGACTGAAAGAGATGAAAATCTCTCTTACTTTTAACATATGAAAATTCAATGTTAACCAGCTTCACTTAAATGGAACTCCACAGCATATGAACATAAAGGTTAAGTATGGTAAGGTGAGCTAACATGGTGACATACTCAACACATGGGGAAAACAAGTGACTGTGCTCAGAATGGATATCACAGAACTACTGTAACCTTAACATATTAAATATATATATATATAAAAAGCATTATTGCATTTAATGTAACCATTTTATGTCTGAGTCAAAAGTGTAAGTGGCTTTCCATTGTTTTAGACCTCTAGCTTGTGAACTTGATGACTTGAGCATGTGCATGATATACCTGACCCAAGGCATCCTTATGCTATTCATCACTTGCTTGATAACGGTGTTAGAACCTACACCGAAACGTCTCTCACAGCAATAAAGAAGTGGTTTATCCACATATTGCTATCCTTCCTTCCCTCGGGTAGTTTACAATGATAAAAACAGGTCTTTCAGATTTGTCGCTTTATAATGTGAATCTCTTGCATTTGAAAGTCCGCACAGACAAGCAGAATAGTGTGATATATTAAAAATATGACTTCATTTATAAAGAAGAATTTCTTTAGTTAATACCTCTTTGGTGTGAAGTGAAGATCAGGGATTGAACTGGTCTACAGCAAATCCATGCTTGTCGTAAGAGTGGGTGAGTGTAGTTTTACGCCGCACTCAGCAATATTCCAGCTATATGGCGGCGGTCTGTAAATAATCGAGTCTAGACCAGATAATCCACTGATCAACAGCATGAGCATCGACCTACGCAAGTGGGAACCGATTACATGTGTCAACCAAGCCAGCGAGCCTGACCACCCGATCCCGTTAGTCGCGTCTTACGACAAGCTGGGTTACTGAATGTTCATTCTACCCCGGACCTTCACGGGTCGTATGAGGCGACTATAGGAAGCAGTGATCGGGCTCGCTGACTTGATTGACGCATGTCATCAGGGGTGAAACGGTATACCGCGGTATTTGTAGAACCGCAGTATTTTGCCTTCGGTTAGGTATACCGTAATGCAATGCAAAAATTCGGTATTTTCGGTTTTCGTACAGTCATGTTATTAACCTTTTAAAACTTTTTCTAAAATGTCTGGAAATCGAATCGTTTTGTCAGAATCGATCTATGTTTGGCTCTTGTTGTCAATTTTCTGCGTTATGATCATATATCATATACCGAACCGAAACGGACCGAAGGCCTTGTACCGAACAGAAGGCCGCAATACGCACCGTACCGTGGTTAAGCGCGTACCGCTTCACCCCTATATGTCATCGTAACCCAGTTGGGTATACCAGTGTTCCCGAAGTCTATTCCTGGATTGTCTGGCCCAGACTTGATTATCGATTATAAACAGAGTAAAATATTGCTGAGTGGGACGTGGGTATATAAGCTTCTGTTTGTTTGTTGTTTAACGCCGCACTCAGCAACATTCATCAATATGGCGGCGTTCTGAAAACAGTCCCGTCTGAACCAGACAATCCAGTGATTGACATCATGAGCATCGATCTACGCAAATCGCTGACATGCCCCAGATGAGTATGTAAGCAGGGCACCGAGTGAGTGATTAATGTTTGTCAATGTAATATTGGAAATAAAAGAATTCAAGACATATTTTTATTATAAAGCGACATAACCAGTTGAAGGTGGTTCAGCGTGTGTGTGTGTGTGTGTGTGTGTGTGCGTGCGTGCGTGCATGCGTGCGCGCGCGCCTGGCACCCAATGACCGGGATCGTTCCCAAGAGGCATTATATACTCATGCCAATAATGGTTGTCACCCCCTTCAATTTTTTTAATTGGAGAGGGGGTGGGGTGGGAGGGTTGGGGTGGCGAGGGGGTGACAACCATTATTGGTATGAGTATATCATGGATTTACACCTCCTTCAAGCTATATGTATCTGGGCAAACACACGAATCTAATTCAAATTTTTTAAAAATGTTGGCAAATAGATTTATGTTTAAAGGCACAATATCACACATTTACGACAATATTTTGGTCTATATTATATATATTGGGGATAATCACACTCTTTAGCTTCCTAATGAAGGAATAAAATATTTATTATCCTGATGGTGTTTGATGATGATTTTTATGGAGAAGCATGTACAATGTGAATGCCCCCCCCCCCCCCCCCTAAATTGTATGCACAAAGTAAGTGTCATGTACAATATCAATTAACCCCCCACTCCCACCCCACCCATTCATTCATTCATTCCTTATTTATTTATTTATTTAATCAACAAAGGTTCCTTAACCACATACACATATTATACGCACACATGCATGCCCGCATACACTCGACCATGCACGTATTTTCACCTTCATGAACACACTTAAAATTATTTAATATTTTAAATCATTACCTCAGCTCATTCAAAATACCTGTACCTGTAGCAGCAATAACTTTATGAAGCATCCAGAACACAATAAGCCTCCACTGGAGTTGGCTTTTGAAGATTTAAACCTGCACTGCACACTTGTACAACCACAGACGTGAAAACCGCAGGTAGGCCGATGAACGGCTCACGTGTATGGTAGATCGCCAACATGCGTGTCTATTTTCGGCACCATGCAGTCTTTGCCTGCGAAAAAAAGGTTAATTCGTGCTTCCAATGTTCATGCCCCTCCACTGAGGCAGCAGTTACCGTCTTGAAGTTATGCAGGGGTAATTTGACTCCCTGAAATATTTATAATTACCTGTACGCCTTAGCCAAAATCACGTTGAAGTTTCCGAACCTTCTGACCGAACCGTAAACAGAGCTTTGGTGATCGTGAAAAACCGATCGATATTTTCCTGGTATCTCCGAGTCGGATAAATAATGAAACGAGACCATGGCTTCTGTACACTATTCTGTTAGGTTTCTCGGTCAATGTGATAAACAAAAATTCATATTAATGTTTTCGTGTTCGATAGCAACAAGATCTTTGCTCGACACTCGTGGTCTGTCAAACTAGCTCGACTCTGAGGCCTCTAAGAAGAGAGAGAGAGCTTGGCGCTAATTGCCACCGGTAGCTGAGTGAACGGCAGGGCGCACGGAAGTGCCTGAAATTGATTAGTCCCGTGGAATGCCGGGAAACCATTATTATCTATGTAAATAAGATGCTGGGGCGCAACTTTCATTTCCCCTAGTGTGAGTATTTACAACAATATGGCTGCTGTACTTCAAAACGGGATCGTAGGTGAGCTGAACGTCGGAGGGCACGGAGGAATAGCGACGACGATTCCAATGAAGGACCAAGATGCCATTAAACTGTTCGTTGGACAAATACCTCGGAATCTGGAGGAAAAGGATCTTAGACCCATATTCGAAGAATTTGGACAAATTTACGAATTGACCGTGTTAAAGGACCGTTTCACCGGAATGCATAAAGGTATGTGTTCTGTTGTCGCAAGATCGGTTTTCGCCGACTGAGCTTATCGGTAGCGCTTTCAACGCAAGGTGTTTAAAAATTTATAGCATATCGAGAACAGGATCTCTCCCTATCATGTCTGTGGCATTGATTATAAGCTAAAGCATGTGTAATTATGCTTCAGTTGAACGTTTGGTTGTTATCACGCGAGATAGTGTAGGTTCATCGCCGTCTTCCGAATGAACAGGCGTTTTCTGGCGACACCAGCGCTTACCACTTGTAAGGAGCTACTTGTAACGTTTAAGGCGCGCGTTCGGCACGCGACTAATTTTTTAAGCACGTGCAGACATTTTCCTGCGCGTGCACCATTAGAAATTATATGATAGCGGTTCCTGGAGGTGGTTTGTTTACATCGATAACTCGTCGCCCCCGTGCCCCCGTGCTCTGGAGTAGGGGAGGATCTAGTTGCTCCGAATGCTTAGTTTCGCAAGGGGAGCGATCGGATTTGTTTGTTGAGAGTATTTTTGAATGCTCTGTGTAAATTGGGCACGCGGTGGGCTAGTGTTGTTATAAGGTGTAATATACTTGCTTATCGGTTGATATCGACGAATCATTATCTCTAGAAACACCAACATATGTCTCCGTTTTCTAAGGCGACACATTTTGTACGCTTAATATATGTTCATACATTAGGGATGAGATGCTGTAATCTTCTCGCTTGTGCCTTTGTTTACCGTGTGCGTTTAATAAAAATATGTTTACGTAACCAGATGATTCTCGAAATAATCCCCTGGTACATCTTCGCCTGGCAGAGAGCTGAGAAAGTGATGCGCTCGTTTGATTGATTTAGATATCTCTTCCAGCTGGGCTGGGGACAAAACGCGTTTTAACCCTCATCTTTACAGAATAACGGTACTTGTTGCGAGGGATGCATATTGTCGGTTGAATATTTGAATGTTTGCATAAAATAGTATGACGGTCGAAGGGATACCCACTTGTTGTAACACGTTGAGAATTTCATGGGGTGAGGGTAGGAGGGTTGGGGTTGGGATGGGGGTTTCAAGAACGTGATCGGCAGGGGGTGTCGTTGGGAACTGGGTTGCTGTATGACCACACAGATATTGTTTGACTCGAAGCCCAAAATATAATCATATTCAGTCTCAAACACGAACCCCACCCCTCACCCTCCTCCCCCCCAACAAAATTGATTGGCCTTAAAACTGCATATATTTTCGTGCCTCCAGGTACGTCTTACATATCCAACGGTGAAACCCCTATTCTTGATAAAACCACTGCAAGTCAAACCAGTATGTTTGACTCGCGCGTTGTATTTTGTTTCATTTTCGATGACCCTGTTTGACGATGTCAACTGACGGGGTCAAACAATGATGGCGGACAGGAACTGGCAGACATACGTTAAGGTTCTGTGGACCACTACTTACAGAAGGCAGGGATAATGGATGTCTCTGCGAGATGTATTTCTGATATCAACTGGTCCAGAGCTGGTATTAATCAATACTACGCATTTACTGGACAGCATCGCCAAGGTTTGGCCGGCTGAGCTTGGGTGATGCGGTACAGGAACATACACGGGGAAATAGACAATGACTATCAGGAATTCTTTCGAATATTGATCAGGAAGGTGGATGTGACGGCTTCTCCTGTTGCGTTGAGATAATGCTGATATTAAAGATTTACGATGATGATGATGATGATGATGATGATCAATACAATGACAAGTATGATCTGGAGACTAACGGATTATTAAAATGAATTTACATGGTTGTTGACGACAACAATGATGATGATGATGATGGGGAAGACGCTGATGGTCAGGATTTTACGATGACGATGATGATGATGATGATGATGATCAATACAATGACAAGTATGATATGGAGACTAACGGATTATTAAAATGAAATTTACATGGTTGATGACGACAACAATGATGATGATGATGATGATGTTGATGGTGAAGACGCTGATGGTCAGGATTTTACGATGATGATGATGATGATGATACTTTTACGATGGCGATGGTGACGGTGCTTATGATAGTGAGTGAGGGAGTCAGTTTAGTTTTACGCCGAACTAAGCCATATTCCAGTTATATGGCGGCGATCTGTAAATAATCGAGTCTGGTCCAGAAAATCCAGTGATCAACAGCATGAACTTTGATCTGTACAATTGGGATACGATGACATGTGTCAACCAAGTCAGCGAGCCTGACCACCCGATCCCGTTAGTCGCCTCTTACTACAAGCATTGGTTGCTGAAGACCAATTCTAACCAGTGTATATGATAACAATGATTTGACTATGTAAACGGAGAAGATGGGACAGAAACGACGACGACGATGATGATCATGATGATGAGAGAATCGCTGATGTAAGCCCTTTTTCAGTTACATCACGGCTTATCAGCTTTAGGTAATGAATCTGAAATGATGCACGTCTGAGAAATATACCACTGTGATGAAATCTAGAGTCAGAGCGTGTCTTCAGCTCACCGAGCGAACGCTTTTACCACTAGGGTTCCTCTCCCACCCCATAGTCATAGTAAACTCTAGGGGCGGTGGGGTAGCCTAGTGGTTGAAGCGTTAGCTCGTCACGCCGATGACCCGGGTTCGAATCCCAACATGGGTACAATGTGTGAAGCCCATTTCAGCTGTCCCCCGCCGTGATGTTGCTGGAATATTGCTAAAAGCGGCGTAAAACCAAACTCAGTCAGACAGTCAGTCATAATATACTCTTTAAAAAATGTAGGTGAACCTGAACTGGGTTTTTTTGGGGGGTGGGGGTGGAGTTTGGTTGTTATTAACGTATGTTTGATCAATTTGGTTCAGTCCATATGATCGGCAGGGTAACTTATCGGATTAGTTTCTCACCTTCTGTCAACATCTCCGGCAATTCACATACATATTAATGCAAATTAAATGGACGACGAGAAATCGATTTTATTTATCATTAAAGGACGACATCGAGCGTTGACAAACCTCACATCAGATTTCCGTATACTCACCGGAAACAAATGCAAGCAAGGATTCAGTGTGAGTGAGTGAGTGAGTATAGTTTTACGCCGCTTTTAGCAATATTCCAGCAATATAACGGCGGGAGTCACCAGGAATGGGATTCATACATTGTACCCGTGTGGGGAATCGAACCCGGGTCATCGGCGTGAAGAGCTCACTCACTCACTCACTTTGGCGTGACGACTCCACCGACCCTATTTAAATGATGTAATATATTTATATTTGGTTTGGTAAAGGACCTGTTATTCATTCAAAAGGAAAAAGAGTGAAGTACCGAAAATATTGTTTCCCTCCCTTAATGCTTGTCTGGGGCGGTTGGGTAGCCTAGTGGTTACAGCGCTCGCTCGTCACGCCGAAGACCCGTGTTCGAATCCCCATATGGGTACAATGTGTGAAGCCCATTTCTGGTGTCCCCAGCCGTGATATTGCTGGGATATTGCTAAAAGCAGCGAAAACCAGAATCGCTTTAGCACGCGAGACCGTAAACACGCGCCGCGAACAAAAACCATTTTAGACATTTACAAGTCTTTCTTTGCAAAAATTGCTAACAATTATTAATTGACTGTCTAAAAATATAAGCACCGCCACGCGATCATACGCACCTGTACTCTTACAAAAACCAATACCGGGTCATTGTTTGAACGTACTGAGACATAGAACTATACACAATATGGACAACTCTATTGAAATCGACAAGCTATTATGCGGTAGGTTGTTGAAATATACTTGCAGGCTGCGCGTAAACAAAACGGAGACTGACATATACATCTTGTCATCCAGTGAAATATGTTCTTTCTTTAACTGTATCGATTTCTCTCTGGGCCATTTCGAGGTAGTGTTGGTATTTTAATACGGCTGAGAACTTTTGATGATGTCAGCTCACAATTTACGAGCAATAAATTGTATTTCAGTAGACTGGTGTCAAATCGAGGCCGCTCGGTCACAGATATTTTCGAAATCATTCCAGGGAAAATCAACGTGTGAAATAAAGATGCTCAGTAGAGTACACGTGTGCAACTATGCACCCGCGTTGCAATCGTTAATTGCCTGTTAATTATCCGTCTCTATCAAATTATTTAATATTCCCCAGAAGCCGAAAAGAATTGTTGATGTGGGGAGTTTTTTTTCGAAAAACAACAGGTCAGCGTAACACACGAACAGGGAAGAATGAACACATCGGTCACGTTCTTCAATCTCTCCATTGGCTACCAGTTGAACAACGAATTCTTTTCAAAGTCCTATGCTTTGTGTTCCGTTGTCTCTCTGGCTCTGCTCCGGTCTACCTCTCCAGTTTCCTCACTCCATATTTGCCTTCTCGATCTCTGCGGTCTCAGAGTAACAACCTCCTCAAAGTCCCCAAAATACGATCAACCTTACATGGACGCCGAACCTTCTCCTACTCTGCTGCTGTAGAATGGAACAATCTTCCTGAGCATCTCCGCCTCTGATCTCTCCTCGTTCAGGAGCCAACTCAAGACATACCTCTACAAAACAGCTTTTCATCAGTGACCCCCAATAATCTCTCTTCTTTACTTACTTGTATATACTTGTAGTGACTCTGGAACTATTCATTTTGTGCGCTTTGAGCATGTCACGGATATGGATATATGCGCTATATAAATAGTCTATTATTATTATGATACGATATACGCGCACATTGTGTTACTAAAAAAACAAGGGTAATTATCGGCTAGCTTGAGAACTGCGTGGGTAAATGGGTGTGAATTTAACATCACTTTGAACAATATTTCAGAAACAAAATCATGACCTATCTGGGATTCGAACTCAAGACTATGAGTGAGTGAGTTTACTTTTACGCCGCACTCAGCAATGTTCCAGCTTTATGGCGGCGGTCTGTAAATAATCTGGACCAGATAATCCAGGGATCAACAGCGTGAGCATCGATCTGCGCAAATGGGATACGATGACATGTGTCAACCAAGCCAGCGAGCCTGACCGCCCAATCCCGTTAGTCGCCACTTACGAC